CATCATCATCATCATCGTCATCCTTCTTGTCCTTGTTGCCTTCCTATTCCAACAGTTGTGACTGTCAGCATTCAGAAGTAGCCCATGGAGTGGGGAAAAATGGATGGATGATCTATTTATCGCTTCAGTGTCGCCTCTTAGCAAACATATAGATTTACTCTAGTATGTAGAGTCAATGGCACTCCCCAAATTAGAGCTCTCTTCATGCTACTCTTTATTTTTTCCAATGCAGGTCCAGAGCTCTTTCAAAACAGTGCTCAACCTGTTTAAAAGTTCATTTTAAAAATGCCTCCCTGCCTCCCAGAGAGAGCAATTCAGGAAGATGGGAAGATTCAGAGCTGCACCCTCGACTCAGCTTTGACAATGCTGATCTTTGGGGATGAGATCCCAGCCTTCTGGTGCCAAAGCAGAGCCGGATTAAGGGCCACTGGTGCCCCGAGCACAGCCCTACAAGGGGCCCCTCGGCCCTTCCCTTGCTTCACTGACAAAACATTAAGACTCAAAAACTGCTGGAGGTGAAAGAAGAGATTCAATATTCAGGTTTCCTCCAAGCCATCTGCCCGACTGGACTCCACAACTATATTAAACTTTGAACATGTATTTATTTATTTAATACTAAATAGCTGTAAGCAATATAAGTAAATTATTCACTTGGAAGTAGGGCAATAGAAAAGGGGCAATTTTCAAGAGTTTTAAGTCCACTCTTCCTTAAAATTGGCATAAGGGAAAAAATAAAGAAAAATGTACAGAAAACTAGAGCTGAGGGTGGCAGTGAGAGAGTTCAGGGCATTATAGATGGGGGGGGGGAAACTCTTTTCCACCCTTATTAAGAGCATGTGCAAGATTCCGTTCTCTTTTGCAAGAGATTCCTCAGTAGAAAAAAACATTTAGCACCTATCCAAACCTAACCTTGAATGAGAGCCCTCAGATTTCCCGCCTCTCAACCTCAAAAGTGTATGAATTCTATACTTTTTTGTATCATTCAGGATCCCTCTTTCTTGAAAGCAGGCATCCAATGGTCATTGCAATAAACATGGTTCTTCTCAGCGGTGTGCTCCTGTCCTTGGCAAAAAATTCCACAACAACTTGATGGCACATAATCAATCAATGAATCAGTGAAATCCATCAATGCTATTGGAGGGCCCTCAAGGCTGACTCCTACCTGATACTCCTGGAAAGCCTCCTCCAGAGGAATCACCCGGTGGTCCCTGTGCTCTCGGGATCGGTCACAGACCACGCAGATGAGGGTCTCGTGGTCCTTGCAGAAGAGCTTGAGGGGCTCCCGGTGCGTCCTGCAGAAGCTCCCTCCTTCCTCGCCCCAAGGGCCATAGCGC